CAACTCCCCCTCAACCCACTTTTTATAACTCTAAAATGTTAGTATAACAGTCTTTGTGTTTGTAACCTAAGTACTTATTGTAAATCATAGAATACAACAGCATTGGAGGAATTAAATTGAACTTGGCCCATCCACTTAATCTTCTAAGTCATGCCATAACATTACATGACGGGAGCTAGAAAATTTGCTAGACACTATATGAGTCAGAACCAACTCCACGGTACTTAACGATGGCAACAATAGCCTACTAAGTTTTTGGAATTTGGTTTTACTTACTTCTTGAATAGTAATGTATGTAATTCATTACAGTTGTCATATTTTCATCTTAGTAGAAAACAATGACTCTGGGTTGAGTTTTTTCTAATAGAATTCAACTAATCCTTTAGTTGACCTGTCACTTTAGGTCTTTAGATCCAACAGTGACCTTAAATTCAATCTTAAAGAATCTCAAACAGCCACAATCCAATGGGTCGAGTTGTGATGATGAAGCACTGATGGATGATGGTCCATGTGTGGTCCCACCTCTCCTCCTAGCCCAAGCAATACGGCAATGAGAAAAGAACTATGGTGAGACTCCGTCCTAGAATCTGCATGTTTCTATAATGTAAGTAAGGATTCCTAAAACAAACAAACAAACAAATGAAGAAACAAACAAATACACTACATTTTTGGTTGGTAGATAGTTCTATGATGATGTTAGTAATGGTTCTACCACCAACAGTTCCATGATTATGATCAACCTCAAGAACTGAATAGCCCTAGCAGGGCCATAGGTGACCGGTAGAGACGACCAGGCTACTTAGCTCATACTCAATCTTGCGTGCCAAGAAGCTACGGCTCTACTTTACATTGGTTAGAAATCTCCAGAGTTTATAAAAACCCAAGCGATAAGATTGATTTCTGTAACATTCATGACAAAAGCTGGAAAAATCTCTAGAGGGCCATATTGTCTTAGTAACTGGCAATAAACAGAGAATATGTATAAATAGATGATCTCTACTACATGAGAAGGGCAGCTCACATCTTGTCATTTCCATGCATTTTAAATGTAACATTTAATTCAAGCATTACTGGTATGTCTGGTTTTTAGCTTCCAAATGTACTTGACTTAAGGACTTTGAATGCTCCGGGGGCTTTGTTATAAATGCTCAAGAGTGCTTAGATCCTTTTCAAAGGGACTTTATACTTCATTACATTTTATAGTCTGTGTCTATGATTCCGAATTGAGAATTCTGCTGAGTCTTGGTGGGCATGCTGCAATAGCTCTGGGAACAGAATTTTGTTTGTATCTTTTTAAAACCGAAACCAAATCTATAGCCTTGAAGTTGATTCTGAATCATTAACACCCTGTAGGACAGAGTAGAACCATCTCATAGAGTTTTCAAAGCCACAAACCTTTCAGAAACAAACTGCCACATCTTTCTACTGTAGAGTGGCTGGTGGATTCAAAACCACTAACCTTTTGCTTAGTAACCAAGCACTTAACCACTGTACAACCAGGGATCCTCATATCTTTTAGGCAATATGAAATTTACTTTGCCATAATGAAATCTGCAAGTAAATGGACAGACATCAGTTTTCACAACCCAAGCCAGATTATCCAAGGGCATCAATTCAAAATTGTGTTTTAGAAGAGCATATTTTAAAACTGCCATCTGCCTATTTCGATACTGAGAAGTGTTTCCAATGAGCAAATGAAGAGCTCTGCTTCTTTTGATGGTGTTACTGAAATGCCTTCATTACCGAAGATCCTACCCTCCCTGTCTTCTCTGTAGAGCTTCCAGTTGTCTGGCTTTGTCTGCTTGGGAAGCGGGTTTCTGGTTAAGGGGGTCTCTCAGGGTTCTGTGCCACAGCTGATCAAAGGTGTTCTTTGTGAATTCCTCATGTTTCCCTTGTCTGTTTGATACTGACACTTTCCATTGGTAATTTTAGCCACAAATAGGGAACCACATCAAATCTTCATTTACATTATGTCATTTAATTCTCAGCATAACCCCAAAAGATTACTATTATTAAGATTATTTACTTTAAGATGACCTGTTTAAAGATTACTATTATAATTTTAAGAAGAGAAGACTGAAATTAAGAGAGTTTATGTTCAAAGTCTCAAAGCCAGAAAACATCAGAATGTGTATTTGAGCACAGATCTTTCTGGCTTTAAAATTCAAGCTTTTAACCTCTTCATTAAATCCCATTTTAAAATCAGCATTATCAAATTGCTAAGGTGTAGACCTCGTGTGGCACTGTGAGTTAATGTGCTGGACCACAAGGTTGGTTTGATTGGCAAGGTTGGTGGTTCAAGCTCACCAGCATCTCCTTGGAAGCCCTATTCAGGGCTGCTCTGAGTCAAGGCTGACTTCATACTTAACAACAACAAGAAGATGGGTCCAGAATGTCACAACAAAATATTTAAATTTGATTGAATTGGAAGTGGGACACTGGTGACTGACTCTGCCCCAGTGAAGTCTTACATAAACTCTCTTTTCTTTTCTAGTGATTGGTGGGGCGAATAGGAGAGAGAAAGACAATAAAAGTAAAGCTAGAAAATGAGGGAGAAAGGGATACTACCTACTCCAAATGCAAGCCAGAATTTCCACAGTAACTGATCAGATGAAGAAGTAAAACATCCAATTCACAACTACACTGTGCATTACTGGCATGCCAGAACTGGGAAAAAGTTATTTCCATAAGAGTAAAGGATAAATAAAAAAGAAAAACAAAAGGGCAGCTTTATCTTTTTGTCAGCTCACATTTCAGAGGAATGTTAGCTCATAAGATAACATTTCTGCTTTCCTCATGGAATTAGAAAGTAGTTCTAGCACATCCACATACAGAAATTGTGTATAATTTAAAATGCTGAAAACACATGTATTTATTCATTTAGGATGTCTAATTTATGACATTAACACCATCCTTGTGTAGTCCATATAGAGTCTAGAAGATGGAATGGAAGAGCCTGTTCACATACTTGAAATCTGTAGGAAAAGATGAGCTGGTCCCACATCAACAAAGCTGCTCTCAACCACAGGTCTGCCAGATAATTCATCCTAGGGGCTGGGCACCAGGCAGTAATAATATTTATTGAGAAACAGCTTCATGAGCTGAAAGCAGTACTACATCATCCTTTGTGAAAACTCTGGTTATTAAAGTCCATTAAAAGCAAAATTTTCCCTCTCCAGCAGTTTATATACAAATATTTCATTTTCCCTTATTGTGTTTTATTTGAATTATCCATTTTACTTCTGGAAGCTCTAATAGGAAATGCATTAATATTCACATATATATGTACAAAAACATATTTATTTAACGTTCTAAATATTTTTAAGGCCCTGGTTTCAATTAATTTGATCAGAAAATGTAGACAATTAAACATAATGCAGATCTATCCCAGGACATAATATTTACAAAGTGAAGATTATTAGAGACAGACATGAGACTTCATCAGAAGGAAACATTAAAACACTTATTTTTTTCTTTTATTTTTTTCTTCTGTTTTCTAATGAATGCCTGGGTTGAGTCCATAAAAAGCACATCTACTTGGATCTGAAACAGCAAACTCAGTTATTCTGAGCTACAACAGCTGTCTCACAAAAGCATTGTCTTCACATGGCCATTGCATCTTTGTGCCTTGTTATACTGAAGAAGGGATACAGATTTTAGAGGTGAGTCAGCTGGCAGTTTGTGGACTCAAGAATACTCTAAAAAGGACAGCTGGCATCTTGTTATCTATTTTTGTCTTTACAGATAACTACAAAGCACTTGATGCATTTCATCAAGACAGAGGTTCAAATCGGAGAGAACATTGGCCCTGGCAATATGGCTTGGCTGTCTAATGCAGATCACATAAAATGGATGATTGCCAAATCCTTACTGCATTTCAGACTAAAGAAAACCAGCCAAAGAAGAGCTTAGAGAATCTACTTAGAAGAGTAACATTTCACCAGGGGACTCTTGTCATTTAGCAAGAGATTAAAAAGATCAAAATATTGGTGATGACATATAAACACATTCTTTAGGGAGATATTTTGGGGCCATTGTTAAACATGGTCAAGTAGCTACATAGGATTATAAACTAGACTGTGCTTTTTTCCTACACGGTCATTTGAGTCTTTTCAGGCTTGAGATTAAGTTTATTGAATCTCTAGATATTTAAAAGTTTAAACTTTTCTGGGAATCAATAAGAAAAGTCTGTCATCTTATCACACATTTGCAAAACGCAAACACATTCTGAGCTAAGTGACAAAGAAGAAAATTATATGTAAAGGGAACTGCAGAGAAATGAAGAGTACACTGTAATTCTTGACTTCTTGAGCAGAAGATATGGAGAGTTTATTGGGTGATGTGTATTATCTTTTCTAAATACTTAGAGGGAAGCAATGGGATGGTACAGTTAGAGCTAGCAGAAAGCTCCTAAGAGCCTGAAAATGAAATCTCCCATAATGACTCTTAGGAAATCCTTGCAATGCCGAGGAATTACGCTTTCTGCAGCTGAACACAATGCTGTGCTTCACATAACCTTTGATGCTCATCTCTGCTCTTACAGTTATGAAGACTGGTAAGAGAGGTGTTCGTTATTCTTAATAAAAAAAAAAAAAAAACCACAACAAAATAAACCAAGTAATGGAAGTGGACATGATCTCTTAACCAGATGATACTTATGATACTTTTCAGGTGAGCATTAAGAGTCAAAACATATCCCTCACAGAAGACCAGAAAGATTTGGGCTTCCCACAAAGTGCTTTAATCAGAGGTAGCAGTTACTTTGTGTAACTCAGGTGGATTCAATAATCATTGGGTTTTTCTTTGATGAGGTCATGAACATTTGCATGAACACAAAATATTACATACAGAGAGTCATCTTCTACGATGACCTCAATTCACATACCACAGCGTTTTTTGGTCCCATTGGGCATTTTCCTTGGGATTTTGTACACAGCTGTACTCATTAGTGAATGTGGTGCATCCCTTTCCTTCTGAGAGCTTCGTATAGTTGGGATGCTCCTCTGAGGTGCAGTACTGAGTTGTCAGAGAAGAAAGAGTTTTGATGACTCAGAATCGGGTACTTTCCTGTCGATCTAGAGACTCCCACATACTTTCACTGTGACCTGCTTCCACATAGATGGTGGCGTCTAAACTCAATGAGGGCCGTACTGGCATAAGACTCATTTACGGCAAGGGAACAGTTTCCACTTCCAGATTTTCTAGCTGAAAAGAGAGAAAGAGCAAAGGCAGTGAGCATTTCTGACTGTGCACCACACATTCATTGAACATCTTTTATGTGTTAGAACTCCATTGAGGTCTTCATGTATGAGGATGCTTTGTTCTGTCAAGGGCCATTTGGATATTTATAACATCTCTTAATATGAATTTATGTTAAAATTATGATAAAAGCTCCTAGATTTATTTAATTTTGAGTCCCACCTGTGGTTGCCTTTGGCAGGGCCAGACAAAATGATTTCATGGGCTTATACGGCCCACAGGCCAGATGTTCCCCACCCCTGATATGATCACTGGCACCCTTCCGAGTTTTCGTTAAATCTCAAGACCTTATTCTTGAGCGATTATTATTATTATTATTATTGTGATTTCAGTGAAAGTTTACAGGGCAGATCAGATTAACACTCAACAAATCATATACTTTGTTTCATTACAATGATTATAATCCCCTTCATTTACCATCAGTTAACAGTATTTCTCTCTATTCATTTTAGCTCTTTTTTTTTTTTTTTTAAACACTCAGGCATATATAATAATTTATACCACCAAAGGGCACATTCTACAAGTCTGCCTCCTGGCCACCAGCTCTCAATCCCTCTCATTTCATGAATCTAGAGTCCTCAACTGCTCCCTCTCTCTATGTACCCATCTCAGGTGTTGTTGCTTCTCTGGATAGGGTCCTGCATTCCGCTTGTGCTCTTCTCCCTTGGTAGTCCTAGGGTCCTCTATTCCTGATATGTAAGAATGACTACTCCCCCATTTTTGTTAGAAAACTTCCACCTTTACACTTGTGACAGTCTCAATTAGTCATGGCAACAATTACTCACTATTGAATCATAAGAATCTTATCCCTATCTCTTTTCACCAGACCCATCTAGACAAGATGAAAACTATTCAATGGAGACTGTATCTTCTCCTGCACACTCCTAAACTAAACTTCCTCTTGGAAACTTATAAGTGAGTCACTTTGTGCCTTTATTGCCCCCTCATTTTAGGTAGCCAGTATCTAAGTTGTCCATCTCTATCTACCCTGTATACAGAAGGGATAGGATTGATACTTGCTGTGAAGACTCCTTCCCTCTCAGTTGGTATTTTGAGCTACTACATCCATAAGTATAGGTCAAGTTCATCAAACTGTAGCAATTTACACTCATTTCCTTATCAAAAATGTTTTTTTTTTTGTTTTTTTTAATATTCATCTAGTTGAGCTCCTTGGAGGCCAGGATGGCTAAGCTTCGTCTCTCCTACTTTGGACATATTGTCCGGAGGAAACAATTGTTGGAGAAGGATGTCATGCTGGGTAAGGTGGAAGGTCAGAGAAAAAGAGGAAGACCCCCAACGAGATGGATCAGCCAGGTGGCATCATTGATGGACTCAAGTGTGGCAGCGGTAGTGAGGTTGGCCCAGGATCGGACATTGTTTCGTTCTGCTGTGCATGGGGTCACTATGAGTCGGTTCCGACTCGATGGCACCTGACAACAAAGTTGAGTTCTGATTACCAAGCCACTGAGGCTAGGTCAAAAGAATAGTATCTGAAAGTTTGGGTGTTCTTGTGCATTTCTCCTGACTTCATATCAGCTGGATGCTTCACTCTCATCTCTAGCCCTCTGTGGCTATGTTCTTGTCCCTGAGCTCAGGAGTCCCCAGGTCTCACCACACTTTGGACCAGCCAGCCCTTCTTCTTCTCTCTCTTATCTCCAGGTCAACAGGAGTCTATGGGATGTGGTTGAACTCAGCCCACAGAGACACATATTTGATGCTTCTATGTAACAATACACTATGACCTAGATTCTTTCTCTCTCTCTACTTATCCTCAAATCCAGAGTTAACCAAAATGTAAAAGAAAAGCAAAGACTATTTTTGCAATACTTTTTATGTGCTTTATTTCTGGATAAAGGTATTTTTTACCCAATTCTCAGAATTAGTATTTTTTTTTTTTTTCTGAAGCAACTGATTCAAAGTACATGGGGTTCCCTGATCCAATCTCATTGTAAAGTTAGTATAAATGTGAACAAATTGTATGGCATTAGTTGTTGTTGTTGTTGTAAAGTACTGTCCATTTGGTTCCAATTCATAGTGACCCTGTATAGGTTTTCTGAGGAGCAGCTGGTGGGTTTAAACTGTTTGCCTTGTGGTTCACAATCCAGTACTGATCTACAGCACCACATCAGTGTAAGCACTGTATATGTGGTTTGATATTTACAAAAAAGGAAGAACTTGGGAAATAGAATAAGATTTGTAATTATTAACTGTTTCTGTCATTTATATTAGAAGTTCTTGGTGATGCAGGAAGGAAATGCTGGTATTAAAAAGGAGCAATGGATCATAGATTAAAAATCTAATTTCTGTTTTGGAGATGACTGGGACCTCCTGAAAATTAGACACTGATGTGCAGCAAAAGATTTCACCAAAAGAGTAAAAAGGGAACCAACAGACTACGGATAATTTTTTTGCAACAACATACCAGATAAGGGACTAATATCTAAAATGTCTAGAAAACTGCAACACTTTTACAAGAAAAAGACAACCCAGTTAACAATCAGGCAGAGGACATGAACAGACACTTGTCCAAGGAAGATATTCAGGCAGACAATGAACATATGAAGAAATATTCATGACCATTAACTACCAGAGAGATGCAAATCAAAACAACAATGAGATATCATCTCACACCAA